GGACCGAAGGGCCCCAGAGGCTATGGGTGGTTTGCAAGGTGCAGGGGCGATTTGCACGGAAACTTAACACAGTGGCGTGCCCTGTGCATCCCGTGCTCTTTGAGAGCTAGATACAGGTGTGAGGCTGGCCGATCCCCAGAGGGACACATAGGTAACTTAACTGCTGGAGAGGAGAACTGAGGTTAGGGGCAGGACGTACCGACACGATGAGGATCTGGTGAGGTGGCTCTTCCCGTGCTGCAGCCATCTGGTCTGAGGCAGGTATAACGCGCCCTATAATGCGTCTCTCCTGTTAGTCCCGGATTGAGCCTTGACTTCAAGCACTTGACTGATGGATGACGGCTTTGCTTTCTTGTAAGTCTTCCATCCATCCTCTACGTTGAGATGCCATTGCAAAGGCCCCTATATCGGCCAGGGGCGTATCGTGCTTAACAAGTTGTCCTGTATCAGCGAGAGACCTCGAGTCGGCCAGAGGAACAATTACTGAAGAGGTACGGGGACGGGATGCCGAATGGACAGAGGGCCTGTTGCATTGATCGGTGTCCTCTGACAATAAATAGAAGCATGAAAACTTATGATGAGTGTTCGCATTGAGTAGATGGGTCTAAGTGCCAACTTTTGAACCACCTGTGGCGATTAGGGCTCTTATTGCGTCCATAAGGGTTCTTACACCAGTCGGAGACCAACTGCGTTGCTCAGATGGCCTTCCGCGACGGAGGGGAAATGTGATATGTTGTATTTCTTAAGTGTCTCCAGGTCGGCCACGGGGCCCTGTACCCCGTGTTGCCAGAATAGTAGCCAGAAAACGCCGCGCGGTGAGATGGAGCAGCCCCTCAGCTCTTGACCGGGAGCAACAAGGTATCCCTCATGTTCTACTTAAGGGGCCCCTTGCCCCGAAAAAGTAAGGGGTCTCGTTCGTGTCGAAAAGAGTGGGTCCAAATGACTTTAAAAAATAAACAAGGTCATCCTACATTCGCAAGAGAACGCCCAATCTTTGTAGAATCTACTTATGAAACAAAACACACCAAAAGGTTTAATTAGGCAGGCGCGCTCGCTATTTCGGGAGCAAGGAGAGCGATGGCCGGGCTGCAGTTTCCGTAAAACCGAAAAGTGTTGGTTCCTGGAAGTCACACCAGGCGGCGGGTGCCGTGCGCGCGAGAATGACTGACGTGAAATAACGCTTCCGAATGTCGCTCAAATTTAATTTGTGCCGTGGAAAGAACAGACTGGGTGTATTTTTTCCAATTTTGAGGTTGACCTACAGACAACCTCGCCACTGTAAAAAAGGCCGCGCCTACGTACGCCAGGCGTTGCAGCCTCCGTGGGCGCGGCCTATGGAGACTGCAACGTCCGGTGTCGTGGTTTCCGTTGGTAAGATTTGCGAGTGCGCATGTTCAAAACAACGTTACGTTTTTTACTGATCGATTTCGAATGAATGTCGAACATTTTCAGACAAACATGGTTAGGCCGTGCACCTACAAATTGCTGACCATTTTAATCTGCGATTGCCATTCGTGGGGTCCTTACTTAAAAATTACAGATAAATGCAGATGCAGATGAAGAAACCAGATCAAAATTTGATAAAGCTTCTGAGTTTCATCGGCTGACAAAGAGTCCGTTAGACCATTGCAAAATGAATAGCTCCGGTGATATATTTCCTGCAGTCGTTATATTCCTGATTTCTTCAGAGTATTGACTATACAATTCAGACAGAAGCGATCTCGCGGCAGCTTCTGACTTCTCTTTGGGTTATACAAGTTAGCAATAAAAATGAACAAAGAAATACAATCTCTATTAACAATTTCTTGGGGAGACCTTTCACTATGAAGAGACCCTTTGCCATCCCTATGCCCCCCCTCCCCTCCCTTGCCAAGTTCCTGGCCGCGCCTCTGAATCTCGGAGTAGCAGGGACGGGATGACCAGTGCAGCCAATACTCGCTGGTCTCGACGACGCTTTAACAAACAGGTGTAGACAATTGCGGCGCCCCATAAAACGAAGATCCCGAAGGATACAGACTCTGTTATTAATTCCTGCGCATAGCTCCTCATTCACTGGTCGGGATGCGCCCAGCCCAATAACACCACCCAACTTAGGTATTTCTTAAAATTTCTGCATTGTCGATGGATTGCCCTGAGGGTTTGTGGGTGGGACCCAGGAAGAATGTGGAGCGGAATCCGCGGAGGGCTTAGGTTCGTACTCATTCCTAAGTGAATTTGGACCTGGAGCTTATCTGCACCAATTCATCTGGAGCGGTATCTGCACGCTTTCATCTGTGGCTGGGACAGCTAGAGGGGGTCCGATCCAGGCGTTAGATGTGAATTGCTGTGCAACCGCATTGTGCTGATGGCTGGACAGCTTGGGTAACTCAGCAACATTAAGACGTTTGTATTAACATATCGGACATGGTCTGAATCCTCCTAGTGTCCAGACTCTGGCACTGAAGCGTCATGATGATGTGAGAAGACATCTAGCTAGTGCCACCTACTATCACATTTATGCCGGATGATACGGGTGATCGTCGACAGCGCGCAGATTTATCAGCGGGTTCATGACGAGCTGGTGGAGCTCGCCGCGTGTAGGAACGCAGAAGCGGTCGTCCCCGGCGGGCATCTGACCCGTCCCGGGACCGCCAAACACCACGGCCAGGGGCGCAACACTACACCACAGCGGCAACTCTAGACGCACGTGCGCAGGTGGCTGCGAGGCCAGCCTTGGTCTCTGGTGCCCCGCGCTACGGCGCGCGAATGCTGTACACGCATGGCCGGCTCTGTCAGCAGCCGCACTCTCCCGTCGCGCGGGCTGACCGAGCTGGCTCGACCATGTCACGAACTCGACTCAACCTGTGAGCTTAGCCGGCGTCAGACAGCCCCATCTGCTCTTCAATGATTGGGTTGCAGGCTGCTGTTGTGGACTTAGGTCCGATTATATTACAGCTGATCAGAGGCTGTGTTTGCAGTGGTTGTCAAAATATATCGTGCCGCTGCCTGGTTGCGATCGACACCGATAGGTGAACATGACTCAGGGGACGAACCGTATACACTCCTGATGATAGGGTCGGACGGAAGAGCTGCAGGCGCTGCGGGCCTGTAAACTGTAAGAGCTAAGGCTGTAAAGCGTCGTAAGGTTACCACGTGTGTTTGTTATTAGTGCTCAGCGAACTGATTGCGCATCTTGCAAGCGTGGGCAAGTTCCTACACCTGGAGTGCTGATCTCTGGGCGAGCACAAGCTAAGTTCACGCCCTTCCGAACACGAGTCAGAAGGTGCTTAATGCCTGTAGGAAATGAATTCGATATGCTATTACGAAACAGGCCCGGGTTGGACTATGACGCCGTGACAATATTCTCCACTTGGGTGGCCCGTTCTTGCCGTCACACCTTATAGAATGTATATATATATATATATATATATATATACATATATACATAAATAGTGAGTAAAAAAACTTGCCACTGATGAATTGTTATCATTTGTATGAATAACAATGCGAAGAAATGTTGACGATAACAAAGCCTGGACAAGGGCCGTCTGATTAACATCGGGGATTCCCGATCCAGGAAATGGCATCCATAACAGAAGGCGGGGTTTCCTTTCCATGAATGGCCTGCTGATGCACAGAAGCGCCTCCTAACCCAGGGAAGGATCCTTCTGACTGAGAAAGGGAACCCTAAAAAATGCCTAACCGTCTCATAATCACAAAATGGGGCACCCTGATCGGCAGCAACGGCCTTCTGACACGTGACAGAACCTCCTAGTTCCGAATAGGGCCACCTGGGCTAAAAAAGTCATAACATATATGCCTCTTTATCCATAATAACAGACTCCTCGTTCATAACGGGGTCTGCTGAACATAGCATGAGGTTTTTTGATCCAGAAAACGGACCTCATTATGCAGAATACGACCTTCTGAACCCAGTGCACCAACCTGCCCCCCCGTCTCATCAAGACTCTAGCTACGGTCCTAAAAGTGACCTAATTATTTCGTAACGGAAAACCAAGCAAGGGCCTTTGAACATTGTGTAGGTCAAAATGGTGCGCTTTCCATCATCGAAAAGACGATTTTGTGGCCTCAAAAGTAGAGGAGAGGGTAATGCCAGTGCCCATCGCTCTTGAGAAGCTTTTGGATACGCCCTTGGAATCAACCAACCGACTTTTTTAGTTGCATACGAACTGCTACTTAACTGATGGCGCATCCGTCGTTATAAACAAGACGTGCTCCTTTTTCGCAGTCACTCGTTCTTTCCGTGGCGACTCGTCCGTAGGTTTCTTGTTCCAACAAAGCCAATACGGGAAGGGACACATCGAACATTATCGCGACTTGCACCCTGTTCTCCGTAGTTGTAGCTAAAATGTTGCCGATCGACGAATTGTCAGAGCAGGAGCGAAAGTCTGTCAAACTGCAATGCTGTACATGAGCTAGATAGCTTTAACTGCGCATGCATCATGTGAGCATTTGTTTGCGGCTCTGGTGACGGCCGGGTCAGGGCCGGCGCCGTCTTCCGCATGTGTTTCGCGGCCGCGAGGACGGCCGTGCCAGCCGCGCCACCCAGGCTCCGTCGGTTGAGACGACTGGCCACAGCGTCGGCCGGTGGCTGAGCCGGGTCACGTGGGGCCGCCGACCGCGGCGGGATGCGCCAGGCGGTGACGCAAGCGGCCGGTCGGCCCGACAGGCGGCTATATTTCGGTCCAGGCCGACACGGCCACTCGGACAGACGGCGCCTCCCACCAACCTGTTGGCCAGTGTCTGACGCCGCCCCCCCCCCCTCCCCCTCTCCGCGGGCCGGCTCGTCAGCTGTCTGGGAAACAAGGCTCCCAACTCAGGCCCGATCAAAAGCCCCAGCCCTGGCCCCGCCCCGTGACCTCTTGGCAGTTGGCGCCTTCAGTCTCGACCAGACCTCTGCACCATCTCTTCAAAGACGCGTGTTTTGGTTGGTCTGAACAGCCGGGCAGCGACCACGCACAATTCGGAACTTCGGTTTCCGCCAGCCCCTTCCTCGCGGCGCAGTTGTACGACTTTATTTCACGCAAGGTCATTCCGGAATCAGAAATAAACGCAACCGTCATTACACTAATACAGCAAAGATGGCAGTGTTCGGGCGCTAAAGTTGCTGACGTCGGCTATTGAGCGGCCAGAAAGCAGCAGCGAGGGCCTGTTCGAGGTCTGCGACCGCGCTCAGGCCCCGCTGCTCATGACTACAGCAGGAAGCGTTATCGCCGACAGCAGAGTGGCACCACAATGGAGGCAGTCGGCGCAGGCACTGACACACCTCGCCAAACAGGCCCGCAAAGTCAGGGACCTGTTCCAGCCGGCCGGCAGGGAGGCGGATCATTACCTGGCACGCAGTTCGCACGAACGAGGCGCGTGGTTCACATGCATACTCCGTAACCTCCATTAGACCACTATCTCTCCTACATGTCCGCACTCTTCTTCTCGTCAGAAGCACCGATGACAGCCGATGACGCCGACCAAGCCGATAACGTAGCACTTCGCATCCAGATGCTTCAGACTTCGCTCAAGTCGTTTTGATAGAGCATTACTTCCACGCTGCGTCCGACTCCCGTCAAAGTAACAGCTCACCGCGGATTTCAGCATTCGCGTGCGCATGTGAACAATGCGACCACGCACGTCGTCGAATCACCACCCGGACTGCCTTGGCGATACAGACCTGCTTTAACGACATGACAGGAGTACCAAAACCTCCCCAACAGAGCACGGCGAAATGTCGGGTCTAGTTGCACACAGGCATGTTGTTTACACAAGCATACAGGCAAGCGAGAGCTCCTTCCCCTCTCACATCCAATCGGCTACGCGAACGTTGCACACCTTGTGTTCCTGACCAGAACCACGAAGACTCTCTCTCCCACTCAATCAGCTCTCATACCAAGCTTGCTACAGAAGGTGACGCAGTAGACGGTGGCAGCCGGCCGGGAAGCCCTTCCTCTCCTCCGCTCTCCGCGACGGCCACCTCGCGGCGGAAGCGACCACTTCCGGTTCATTTCCGGCGCCGATCCGTGGCAGTGCTGAGGCGACCAGCCGCCGACCGGGTGTCTCGAACCGGCGGCGCTAGCCACAAGCGCGCTACTGCTTGGTGGTCTTGTGGTGCCGCCTAGCGCGTAGGTGGTGGCGCCTGTTGCGCCGGTACTGGCGGTAGCCGCGCGAGCGACGCCTGTCACCGCGGCTCGGCTTGGCCCAGGCGCCCACCACGAACGTCTCGATGTCGGCCTCGTTCTGGCCGCGCACGATGCGGAACAGGCCATCCTCGCCCCACTGGCGGCCCCACGAGTTGGCTGCAATCTGCGGCAGGGGACGACGGGTCAGAGACGCTGACGGACGCTACCCGGACCCCGCCGCCGTGCCTCCGTGCGCCGGCTCCAGCGACCCAGACGGACAGAAAGCGCGACGGTGGGCTATGCCAGCCACAACAGTGTGCAGTATACGTCGCTGACGCTGCTCCAACTCCGATGGTCCGCACAATATGACGGGGCGCGTTCGGCGCAGCCGTTCAGCACAGGCAGGGGTCATTGGTCAGCTAGAGCTGTGCGAAACGCTGGGAATGGCGTGCAGGGCTCAGCAGGACCTGATCACAGCATCACAGGACGCAAGAAGGGGATGCACTCCGAGAGCGGGGGGCAAGCGCCACACTAAGCCACACTCAGCACGAAGGGCTATTTCGGAGAAGCAGGACCGCCGCCGCACCCATCTGCCGGAATCAAATGACGCGCTTCAGTCTCAACAAGTCGCCAGAATTACGTCGTAATGTCGTTAGAATTACGACAGGCCTCACCGGAGGCTGACGCGCTTCCGTCTCAACATGTCGTTAGAATTACGACAGGCCTCACCGAAGGCCGACGCGCTTCAGTCTCAACATGTCGTTAGAAATCCGACGGGCGTCACCGGAGACTGACCCGCATCTATCTATCGCCATGTTTGATAATATTTGGTGGTCTGGCTAACGAGGCGCCGTTGCAGGCTGGTTTGCGGGGGAGGGGCAAACGGGTCATATCTGTATTGCATTGCTATTTGTTCCTGGTTTCTTGCTAGTTGTCGCCCAATGACGACGTACCGGTGCAATGCATGGAAATTATCCGGCTCTTCGAACAGCCGGCGCCAGCTGCGTACAGAGATGAAGAGAGCTGTCTGGTGGATATATTTGAAAAGTACCACGAACGACTCAAGGCCACACTTGACACGCCTCGATTTCCCCTGCCAGACTGCATGATTAAACTGCAACCGAATAGAACACGCCTGATGAGCGGGATATGCCAGATCAAAGAGCTCGAGCCGAGTGTTGGACCCGGGCCGGGGTGACATACGGCTGGTGAGAGGTGTCTCCGACGCCAAGACACGGTGCTTTTCTGTGATGGTGTGACACCTCCGCTAAACAGGTTCCTTTCTGGACTGACAGTGACGGACGGAACCTGGCGCTAGTCGTGCTCGGGGTGAAGCCAGGGAGCCTGGGATGAAGCCGTTGCTGTATGAAATGACATCGGTGTGTGTGTGTGTGTGTGTGTGTGTGTGTGTGTGTGTGTGTGTGTGTGTGTGTGTGTGTGTGTGTGTGTGTGTGTGTGTGGTGTGTGTGTGTGTGTGTGTGTGTGTGTGTGTGGTGTGTGTGTGTGTGTGTGTCAAAATTTGGGTGGACGTCAACAACCTTTACCAGTGTCATCTCTCGATCATCCAAGTCTTTCATACTAACAACTTTAAACACGTCTTCTCGATATGTGTAAATAAACAAATAATTCCACGACCGCCTGAACTTCATCGAAGCCAAAGCGCCTGACGGTGTCGAATGTCGCGCTGTGGCTGCTAACGCGCCCGATGAACTGAATGCACATGGAGCCGACTGGACAAACTGATCAGCGCACTGCTTTTTCTAAAAACAATCGTAGCTCGTCATTTGTCGAAATTTTGTAAACACTGAATCATGCAAGGAAGAGCGCTGATTGTTATCACTAACCGTACGGAGGGCCAGCCGAGGGTTTCCTTGAATGTCTCCTTCCCCGCACGGCATGCATCAGGTTGTGGCACCGCCACCGGTCCAACAACAATAATCCGCTTAGCCATGATAATTGCAACAACAGCTTTCCACTCGGCGCCAAAGCAAATAAAGCTGTCATGGGCGGTGCACTATTTCTGCTGCGGCGGCCGGCCCGTCTGGCTGGCCGGTCGGCGCGGATCGAAGACCATCTGCTCGCGCCGCAAGCACCGGTCTGCTTGGTGTACAGTGGCGGGTACTACACTCTACAAGGTGTCTCACAGAACGCAGGACCGGACGTGCGGCTCACATGGACTGGGCTTTGACGCCTCGGTCAGAGGCAAATGCAGGCGAGGCCGTAGCGCTGTACGTTCCCCCCCCCCCCCACCCCATCCCCACCAAACTACACCTGTAGGTGTTCCTGATGAGGTTGTCAGTTTAGCGAAGGCAGGAGGCAACGTCAAAACACATGCTGAGCATGTGGACGCGGTTCCATACGGGCATAGATAGCCTTGTTGCAAATGACTTACAGACGCTAAACCAAGTTCTTGTGAGGACCGCAATGTGTCAAGACACAGAAGAGCAAACGATATTTTTTAATGAGGACGACGGGGTCGACATTGAGGAAGCTCCGATACCACCGCCTTTACGGAACCTTCGTGGAGTTCTTCATGTGGTCCTCTACGGACTACGGGGGAGAAAATTCCAGTCCTTATGACTTCCTTACCTTTTCCTTAGACCTTTTTTCCTAGACCTTTTCCTTAGACAGACTTGGCCTTGCCTGGTGTTACGACTTAACACATTGACTGCAGTGATCCATATGAAAAAGGTACCTTAGGAGCTCTCTCATTTGGCAGTTTTCCTCGATGCCTGATGCATTCGGGAGAGGTCCATGGGACCAGGTGGCACCACCCCGGGCGTGCATCTACCGAGGCATCATAGTTTTATGCGCAGGGCTCAGTTGTAACGTGACTTGCGTCGCTCAGTGATCAGCGGGATTCGCATGTGCAAATCCTTCATACTCTAAGCACTGTTCAGGCCATTTTCAGCCTAAAATATGCAGATCTAAAACAGCTATTCCCAATATGCTCCCATATTAATGCCATTAATTTGAATATGCAGATTATCGAACTATTATTTATGCAGGGCGCGGCGCGGTTTTGCGATAGGCGCGGCGGTGAAGCCGCCTACCCAGCGCCGCGGGTCAGGCGTTTGCATGGACGGGCCGGTCGGTGGAGCGAACGGTACCGAACACTCACATCAAACGGTCGCCGCAGGCCCCCTCAGCACGCACATCATGGCCGTACAAGGCAGGCCTCCGCTTGAACGCACGAGGCCCCCCTTCAGAGCACCCATGACGCGCATACATTTTGATGACGCCCACTCGTCGCACGATACGGCTTGGTTTCGTTCGTCGCACCGCGGCCTGCTCTGGACTTCTCCGGTGTTACAGAATGCGAAGCGCGGTGTGGGGAGTTTACGAAATCCCTCATCGCAGGATGCCAAGGTAGTTGTGGCTATAGTTGGTGCTACGACATACCAGTGAATTATACTGATGAGCTGCCATTGCGCCTGTTCCAGTGTGACAGTCTAATCATCTGATAGCCGGCTCCATAACCATGACAGTAACTAGTTGACAGATCAAGGACTAAGAATTTAGACCCGTCATAGGAAATGACTTTGCATACTCAATATAATGAGACGAAGCGATCCAGCAAAACATTAACAGTGCATCAGACGGTTTCAGTCACAGTGAGACGAAAACTAAAAAGACCACTTCTTGACTCACACCCTTCGTTGTTGACCGGTGACCGCCTGAGAGTGGTAAAAGGACACTCCCCCTAGAAATTTTAGGGATAAACCCTAAATTGTGAAAGGAAGATCTGCCAAATTTTCAGCAGCTGACAAGTGCTTGACTGGACATATTCTGAATCGAACCCTGCTCACTGTCAGGTCAGATGTATGAGTAATCAAGTGGGCTTGCTTTTTTATCCCTGCATGCCGTAGCCCGCTGTTTCTTACCTTCTTTTGGCCTGCCATGATGTACCTCATCGACCAGTGTGGCTATCTGCCAGCCAGGGGCAGCCACATTATACGAGACAGACTCTCATGAGAAGTCATCTGAGTTGAACTGGAACGTAAACGTTTGAAACGAAAATCATTTAGGTCGTTTCCTGGTAAATAAGCCGGTGGAATTGAAATTTTCCAATCTAATGGATTGCGCTTGTGGTGTAAACTGCAAGAGCGAAAACATCGTGTCAGGTGAAGTGACCTGACGTTAAAGAGATGTAAGGTGACCTTCAACTTTGCCAACACTAAGGTATGATCCTAAGTGTCAGAACGCGCTCTTTGATTTGGCGCCGGTTTAAAGGCGATACAGCCAATGATGCATCCATGTAGTAGTGAGCAACAAGGGCTCTGATGTTGATACGATATTTTTTTCATTTGTTAGGTATTTCGCGTGACCTGTGACGACATTGACCCAGAAGCAGATGCAGCTCGACGACTTCTGTGTAATAGTGACTGTCGGTTGCCGTCTGACTTTTTCGATGCACCAATTAAACCATCAAATACCGAGGGGTCAATTTTAACCCGCTTCCAGGAGCTTGCGATTGTCGACGCACCCCAAATGGCAACGGGCAAAATACTCTTAACAACTTAAAACTTATCTTCGGTTCAAGGTAATCTTATCACACCCACTTTCTAAGATAAAGGAAACAAAGCCGCGGCGCCGTCCCCGAGCCGCCGCGCGCCAAGCCGCGGCAACACGCCCAGCCGCCATCTCAGCGATCAACATCTGGTGGCCGGCCTGTCGGTCTCTGACGCGCGCTGCACGGCGCGCGCAGGACGCCACACGTGTGTGGGAGCGTGGAACGTGACCGCCGCGCCGCCGACGGCTGATATCATGCAGCGCGCTCCACTGGTCACGAAAGAGCCGCGCTGTGACGGAACTCGCCGCGCGCCAGTTCAAAACATCGCCCACTAGCTGGAATGCAGCTGGTGGGCGATGCATGACGTCACACTCCGGCGGGCAATGCGTAGCTTAGCTTGTACACTGGTGCGTTTTTATATTGACCAGTGTCAGTGACACATGGGTCTAGAACCACAGAATCTGTTAGAGTAATGCGACTGAGAATGAGCGATCCTCAGAGATCATCACTCTGAGACCTTTGATTCTCCAGCCAAGCATCACTGACACATGCCGGCGTAATTTGTGATCAGTGTAACCTCAATGTAGCGCCACTCGCATTGGCCTGGAGACTACATCACACAACAACGGGAATAACAGTTGCACCTCGCCCCCCCCCGCCCCTTGGTTTAATCGACTGCCAGACGTAAGCGCAGTTCAACCTTGTGCCGGTTGCCGGGGTGAGGTGCATCTCTCTGCGGTCCGTGGCGATGGCCTCCAGGTAAAATTCGTGGCGCCTTTGAACATGGGAAGTGGTATGCCAGGCTCGTCTCTGGATGTTGTGCCGCTGTCAGCGGTGACACGCGTGGTCGGTAGGGGGGGAGGGGGAGGCCGGGTCAGCACTGGGGCAGCAGTCGTCCGCACCCGTCTGGAGATCTGGGCGCGGTGTTTCGGGCCACATGGTGTGGGCGATGCTAATGGTGTGCCATTTGTCGCAGTTATCGAAGACGACATACGAGGTCGACTGCCCAGCGTTGTTCGCTGCACACAACTGGCGACGGACGGACGACCCTGGCCTGCGCGCGCGCGCGCGCTCGATCATACGCACCGTCCTGCAGACCGCGGACAGCAGAGCAGGCCCGCACAGCGCGGCGCAAGTATCGCATGTTGAAGTGGATGTAGTTGTGGATCGATAGCTCAGCTCAGAACCCTGAGGTCAAAATGCCGAAAACCAGGAGCTGCAGGCCCTTCTTTTTACTCTTCATCAAATTATCTGACTATTAGTAGACCATTTTTTTGCCTACCACGCTTGGCTCCGTCAGCTCATTGCCAACAGCTCAACAGAACCTGCCAGCAACTATCTTAATACCGCTTCTGGAACTGTGTCAATGTTAAGAATTTTTGCATATCAACAACTTGGGAGTGCTACAAACATGGTGAAAATTCAACGAGCACGGCTCTGTCAGCTTTCCATATACCTCATCAAACACCGCTTTTCGCGCGCAATGGCCACGTGGTCGATGCGTCTCCGCATCTAACCGAGTACCACTTAGCAGACGAGTCCGCTGTCACCCTGCCGCTGTACCGCGGTCCGGTACAGCGGCGCGGTCCGGTCGACCGCGACCGCGACCGCGGTCCGGTCGCAAACGAGACCGAAGCGGGCCCGCCGTCCGTCCGCCGCGCACGTGGGCACGCTCCGGCCAGCGCGCGGAGGCCGTCGTCCCGGCTGTCGGCGCGTCAGCGGAACTGTCCGCCAGACAGCTCGGTCTGTCCGACTGACAGTCTGAGAAACAGACTGCAAGTCTGTCCGTCGTCAGCTGTCTGTCAGAGACGCCGCGTGTCGGCGCCGAGAAGCCGGCAGCTCCTACTGAATCGAATCCGTACAGACGATTCTGATGTGATGCCTGGGCTGACCAAGCTCATACGTTCTCGATAACACGAAATATTGGCCTGCATCGGGAAAGGTGAGAGATCTTACCAGTACCGGCACGCACACAACTTCACTGGTGTTAACTCAACGCCTCGCAAGCTGTGAAATTTAGTGGCGGCGCGGATTCTGACCGCCCCCTCCCCCACAAAGATCTCGAGAAAAGCTAAGTTGGATTTTGAATGGACAAACAACAATCTATTCACCCATATGTTCATTTCTGAGACCCTCAAAATCAAGGATAGGGGTGTTGGGAGTATCGGAGGTAAAACTAAAAAATTGGGGTATCTTTTTTAAAGGTCACATGTTTTCAAAGGACGAACACGGACAAGCTTTTAAGGTACGGTTTTCCATATATCCAAACCTGAAGATTCAAATTACAAATTTTGCTACCTAATCTTTAATGATCCATATATTGCACATGGGCGGATCCAGGTCGACAGCATGAATGACGCACAATTACTTTTCTTTCACTTTTCACTTTTCACTTTTCACTTTTCTTAAGTATGTATAAGCCTTGTATAACCGGATTTCCCCATCTTGTTTTGCTAATAAAGACGGCACACGTCAAATGCGCGCGATTGCTTTCATCGTGCTTTACGCAACACTCACGACCGGAAATTCCTTTCATTGTCCATTTTTTCCCGAAAGTATCTGAAGCAATATGTACATCATGGAAACAATCTTTATATACGCTGACAGCACGTGCAAACAAGCGCAAATATGCAAGTCGTTCGGCGGTGTGTCTCTCGTAACTCAGTGGGTGTCAATTTTCCAACCTGAGTATTTCTCTGCCGGAAAAAGGTGAACTTGAAGAATGCCATGATGCATATGGCTGTATAAGTAAATATGCTATCGTCACTTAAGCCCAGGATGCAACAGAAGTTTGCCACAGAACTTTGTGTTTTATAGCATCCTCACACGGCAGATTGCCTGCTAAAAACGAAGGCCCCAAACGGCTTCTGGACAGCCGACTTTTTAACACAACGCGAGTACATTAAGTCGCTCAAGTCGCAAAATGTTGTGCCGCTGCAGCAAACAGCATAGGAGCAGTCAGCACAAAACTACTGGGAGGGGGGGGGGGAGAGGGCAGAATATGCCTCCCCCGCATAAAACAGGGTTAAGCTGGGCCCCACACAGCTAGGTTTGTGCCAGTGTGAGCCAGACGCCAGTTTGCCATGATGCTTTGCACCTCTGGTACTCACCCAGTACTTCACGGGCTCGCCGCGCGGGCCCGGCTGCTCGCCCCAGCCGAGCAGGCGGACGGAGTGATGAGCGGTGCGCGAGGACTGCCGCAGTCTCGTCGGCCGGTACACGCCCGAGCGGTACGAGAAAAAGTCCTCGTGCACCTGCATGATGGCTGGCGGCGGAACAGTCGACCGGTTAGGGGTGAAGAGGTCACGACACGGTCGGCCACAGGTGGTGGTAACTACATCAACGATCCGCCGTCAGGGGTGATGCACTGACGATTGTGGTAACTACGTGAACGGTGGTGGTGGTAACTACATCAACGATCCGCCGTCAGGGGTGATGCACTGACGATTGTGGTAACTATGTGAACGGTGGTGGTGGTAACTTTATGAACGATCCGCGCTCACAGATGATGCGGCGACAGTGGTAGTAACTGTATGAACGATCCGCGGCCGGAGGTGATGCGGTGACGATACGAACGGCCTCCGGCAATCAGCGGAGATCGTGCAAACATGAACAGCCACCGCTCCCTGCCAACGCTAGCAACAGCAGCAACAGTTACCGTACCGTGCCAATATCAGTGACCACGCGCACGGTTAGCGGTGACTGGCGGCATCAGTGTCAGAGTTGCATCAACAGCACCCTCGTCTTGCTTCACATTATCGCCGTCATCCGCGTGATAGGCAGCAAGATTGCCTTTCCTGGTGCCAGCGATAAGTTGACTAGGTTTATGGTGTGAGTCCAAATCGATGCAAGTAAGGTAGTGCGGGGCCCGGCGGGGGTTGGCTGGTCAAATCGTGAAAAAAGCGCGTGTCGCGGTCCGCGACAAGCGTGACCCGGTCAATTTCAGACCAACGCGCAAGTTATACGTCAACTTCCGTCCCATCCGAATCCGCCCAGTTTGGCCGACTTTGAACTCAATTTAGTACATGGCCCACAGATGGGATCAAAAATACAATACCATTATTTCCGGTCATAAGCATCTAGCATAGGATAACAATTCGGACAGAGTTTAAGATCCACAGACCAACATTCATTTCAAACGTGCCAAGTTCTAGTCAAATTCCTAAGAAACTGCGTCCGTGCACTGCCAGTCAGTGGCCTGCAATGCTTCACACATATAGGACACGCGCTGCTCTGTTCTGCATTTGTGTAATAACAGTAAGAAATAACCGGACGTACCCGAACACGAGTACGTTTGCCGCTCACACGTATCAGCTCAGGCTGGGATGGCCTGCAGCACAATAAAACTGTTTCCATGGGTATACATTCCAGTACAAACACTAAATAATAAAAAAAGCGTGGGCAAAGATCTTAGAATGGTGCCCTCCAAGGCCCGTAATAAGTGAAATCTGGCCTTATTTCTATTGGCAATCAATGCTGAAATGCACTCCTGCCAATAACACGAAACCAACCGTCACCGTTATTACCTTCATCCATGTGTCATAAGGTCAACAGACAGACGCGTTCCCCGAAACCGTGACTACATCACATTCTCTACCGAATCAAAGCCTATTCGAACCAAGAGCCCAAATGAAAGCTCTCATGTAACTCGAACAGCTTACCCACGTCCTCGCCCGACAAGCTTGGTTCAGGCGTAACTACGCGTTCTCACATCGCCCAGTATTGATGGTTCTCACGCCTCATCATTTGCTCGATGACCCACTGATGTCACTACAGGTATAACCAGGGAAAGGCTGGCGGTAGGAAATCGGAAATAACACGCCACTGGCGTCGCAGAAACTCAAGTAATATACCGCACGTGTCAGTCATGAAGACCTTGTCATGTCCATCCCTTACTAAGTGTACCCGTCTGTTTGTGCGGTTCATCTCTGAGTGTGCAGTCCTCTGTCAATGCGTGCTCGCTCTTAGTGTGCAGCTCCATGTAAGCGTGCGCTCGCTCTGGGTGTGCAGCTCCTGCTAGGTGTGCCGTTCAGGCTGCGCCCCTCCCCCCGGGACGTGCCCCCCCCCTGTTCAGGGGGAGGTTCTGGCCAGCAGCGTGACACGTCGTTGACTCACTGCAGCGGTAGACTCACAACACACCGCTGGCGGGGGAGGAGGTCATTTTTGGCCGCCTTTCCGACGCTGACTAAGCCCTCGCCGTCGTCAGCTGAACCCGACCTCGTGACCCCGTGGCGCGGCTGGCTGCTGTGACGCCGCAGTCTTCCTTCTCGACGACAAGGAATGATGCCGCATGATCAAGAACAGCTCAGCGTCCTACAATTATCTTTTGCAACCATTCATGATAATGAAGGGTACGTTCATGATCGGCCACGTATGTTGTCCGGCACGTGCCAAATGTCCATCACTTGACGCCCACCAAGACACTTCTTCGGCCACATTCAGCTGTCACGTTCGTAATAAGCCGTGCTACTAGTCATGTTTAAACTACGCAGGCCAACAAGCGTTGGCCCATCATTAGGAAAAGTATGACATCGCTGCGCCCAACGAGCCACATGTACCATATGTACCGAGCTTCCCTGGCGACACAGCGATCCCGGACAGGACGCGTTGCTAAAGTCGTCGGTCTGCGATTACTTCAAGGCCGTACGAGCCCGGCCGCGTTCTAGAATTGACCGCCCACAAATCCTTGGGAGATTATTCAATTATTTGGTCAACGATGTCCAAATTGCAGCTTCGAATGGACTGCCCGCAGGCATCCGGATGTTTTCGAAACGACTTGACACTGACGTTCAAAGGGACTGACGCAACGGCCTGGTGACGTCCCGATGGTTCTCAAGCCCTGAGATGGTTCTCAAACTGTTCGCTCCCAGATGCTTATCAAACCGACCACACCAAGAGCGTCCGAAAAGTTCGTCAACGGCCCAGCCCGCAAGTTTTAAAATAGCTTACTACGAATCGGCGGCATGTGTCGATTTTGCTTCATTAGGATTGCAGCATTGTCAGCCTCATTGACTATTTCAGGGCTATGGGACGAGGAGAGTGGAGTGTGATGGGGCGAAATTGTATGGATCCGGAAATCGCCGGCTACCAGAACTTCCTCCCCCCGGCGCGACGAATCTTGTTGAACACGCGCTCGGGCGCGGGTCAAATTGACCCCCCGAAGGTTTTCCAGGAATGGTTTCCGAACGGCGGGGCGTAGCCACGCCAAATTTTAGCCAAAGCCAAAGCGGTAAACAAATGAATAGCGGATCGTTTGGTATAACATATTAGATGTTCCTTGTAAGGTTGCTGACCTATTGCAGGTCAAAGTCGGGCCATGGTTTCAGCGAAGACAATTCCTAGGGAACCGTTCAATCTGGTGCAACAACGAAGTGTTGACGAAGCCATATATCTCTGATATGTTTTCTTAGGCAACACAAATATTGGATGAGCAAACTATGTTGAACTAAGGCCAGGTATGAAGGTCAGACCAAAGTCAAAACCAACCTGTTTTATTGCTCTAGGGCTTACTGTATGGGATAGTTTCTGGTGCTCATTTCGAATGTATTAATGGCAGGAACCGCATTATACATTTTCCATGGACTTCTAAAAGGTCAGAATAGGTCATTGGTCTAAAATGACCCAGATCAACATTTTGTTTCTAGAAACATACTGCCTAGCGTAATCTTCGTCGCCTATTCAAATGCACAACTCAGAGCAGTCTTGTATGATTTTGGTCACCATGTCCTTCAAAAGGTCAAACAAGGTCACTCACCTTAAATGCACGTGTGACCTTTTGCTCAGAAACAGTTATTTAGGTTCTGGGGACACTTAGGAGACCAACCTGGAATTTGACCTTGTTTGACCTTATTTGACCCGAAGGTCATCACCTGGGAACCTCAAACTTCGATCTAAGTGAGTTCACGTACAGGTCAACGCACCCTGTAAATTTGGTATCTCTAGCTTTCTGAGTTAACTAGATCTCAGGAGGGGTCAAATAGACTCCCCTCACCCGAGCGAAGGGTATCTAGCCGGCCAGCCGGGCGCGTGTCAAGCCACGTGCGTACGCTTGGGTCGACTCCCCCCCCTCCGCTAGTGCAAAAGGCCTGCTTGCGGCCGATACATGAAAGTTGTCCCCGATAGGCGCAGTGTTGCAGAAATGAACGATTTAGCAGTTGGCACGGAAAGAAGAGCGGACAAGTAGAGTGTGTTGAATGCACAGGAAGTTGGTACGGATGCCGGTCCGACCTCGGAGCCGACATCAGTACAGCTACATTGGTGCCAGGACAGTGTTGGTACTACGCCTGGAAATGCTTCTCTGATCGTATTCGCAGACTACCTGAGACCCTTATGCCTGGGAGGTTCACAAACTGATGAACTGCTAGTCCTAAGGGCTCTCAAACCATCTGGCCCCCAACTTTCCGAATGATTCTGAAACCACAACCTGATGAATTTTGATTTCTTAACGGTCAGGTGGGTACCAACTCAAATGACACCTTTGGATAATTCTCGAGCTGACTGGCCACCAACGTGAGGATGATTCTCAGCCAAACGGCCCACGTGACCCCGACCACTGACGGCTCCGACGGACGGTCGGCGGCCGGACGTTCTCCGGCTGGCTGGCCGGCGGCCGGCGGGCGGGCGGCGGCGCTGTCCGGCCGGCCGCAGCGTCCGACGGGCTCGCGGGCAGCCCGCACCTGGCACCTCGCCCGCCGCATTCTGGCCGGAGTAGATCACGCCCGTCGACGGCGGACTCAGGCGGCTGGAATCCGGCTCGCCGCGAGCGTACCTGAGCCACCGCTGCACCGCCTGCTGCTCCCGCGAGCAGGTCGTCCCGGCGAGGATCTCAGCACCCAGCCATCCGGACAAAGCGCAGCAACCTTTACTTTCGCGGGTGAACTTACAGTGGACTGGCTCAGCAAATGATCGCCGTAGCTGATATTTAGCAGATGGTGTTGAAAGATGTCCTTAACGATAGTTATTCTTCGGCGGGCGACTTCAGTGGCTGACCTCAGCACATGACCTCGGCAGATGGTCTTAATTGGTGCTGTCAGCAGGCAATCTCAGTAGCTGTCCTTCAACCGGTGACCTCAACAGCTTACCTCAGCAGGCGACCTCAGCAGGTTGTCATAACAAACTATCTTAGCAGATTGTCTTAGTCTTCCAGGCTTATTAGGTAACGTTAACAGGAGCATGCTACTTTATTTTTTGTACTTTCTACCCAGCGTTACACCAGACGCGCCTGATCTGAAGGGCCTACCATTTTCCTGAAATCCTCCAACTAGC